TTTTTATTCTTTTCCATTATAGTTTATTACAAGATCTTGAGTATAGTTCCCTGTGATGTAGAGTAAATCCTTGTTGTTTACCTGTTTTGCATATGGTAGTGTGTATCTGTTAAACTCACACTCCCAATTTATCCCTACCCCCTTTTTCCCCTCTGGCAAACATAAGTTTGTTTTCTATGTTTGCGGGTCTACTTCTGTTATGTAAATTAGTTCATTTATATCATTATTTTAGATTCCACATATAAGCTGTGTCATATAATATTTTTTTCTCAGTCTAGCTTACTTCTCTTAATATGATAATCTTTAGTTCTATCCAAATTGCTAAAAATGGCATTATTATTTTCTTTTTATGGTTGAGTAATGCCTGGAGTGCAAGAGACCCAGGCTCAATACCTGCATTGGGAAGATCCCCTGGAGAAGGAAATGGCAACCCACTCCAGTATTCTTGCATGGAAAATCTCATGGAGAAAGGAGCCTGGTGGGTTAAAGTCCATGGGTTCGTGAAGAGTTGGACATGACTGAAGCGACTAACACTAATATTCCATTGTGTGTGTCTGTCTGTCACACACATACATCTTCTTTACCTTTTCATCTGTTGGTAAACACTTAGGCTGCTTCCATGTCTTAGCTCTTATGAATAGTGCTGCTATGAACATTAGGATGCATGTTTTTTTTTCATATTAGAGTTTTCATCTTTTCTGGATATATGTACAGGAGTGGGATTGCTAGATCATATGGTAGCTCTATTCTTAGTTTTTTAAGGAAACTCTGTGCTGTTTTCTGTAGCAGCTATACCAATTTACATTCCCTCCAACAGTATAAGAGGGTTCTGTTTTCTCCACACCCTTTCCAGTATTTGTTATTTGTATAGACTTTTTGATGATGGCCATTCTGACCAGAATGAGGTGATACCTCATTGTGGTTTTGATTTGCATTTCTCTAATAATTGCCATTTCCTTCTCCAGGGGATCTTCCCGACGCAGGGATTGAACCTGGGTCTCCCGCATTGCAGGCAGACACTTTACCGTCTGAGTCACCAAGGAAACTGAATAATTAACAATGTTGTACATCTTTTGATGTTCCTGTTAGCCATCTCTATGTCTTCTCTGGGAGAAAAAAAGTCTATTTTGGCCTTCTGCTCATTTTTTGATTGGGTTGTTTCCTTTTTGTTATTGAGTTATATGAGTTGGTTATACAACACATCCTATTGAGCTCTTATTTTTATCTGCTTTTTTCCATTGCCACTAGCACCGCTTTGGTTCAGCCCTCTGCCCTCTCTCTTCAGTTCAGTCCAGTCGCTTAGTCACATCCAACTCTTTGTGACCCCATGGAGCTCTCTCTCTTGCATTCCTGTTGTTCTCCTAAATCATTTCCCCACTTCTAGTCTTATCTTCTCTGGTCCAGCCTCAGAGTAATTTTTCTAATTAAAAAGTATTATCATGTATCCCCCATTTAAAACACTTCGGTTCTCATTGTCCTCCAGATAAAGTCCCTAGCATAACTCACCATACCTTTCATTATTTGACCTCTGCATATCTCTCACTTCAAGGATCTTCCCACCTTATTCTCCACAATCCCTACTGTTCTAATTGCAGCTCTTCAAACAAAAATGCCTTCTATTGTCTCTGGGATTTTGAACGTTTCTGGATGATATGTTCTTTTATTGCTTTCTGTCTGTTCTCTGTCCCAGCTTCAAGTTCTTCAGTTTCTTACCTTTTTTCTGCTTGTGAAAAGTGAAAGTGTTAGTCTCTCAGTTGTGTCTGACTCTTTGTGATTCCATGGACTATAGTCCACCAGGTTCCTCTGTCCATGGAATTCTCCAGGCAAGAATACTGGAGTGGGTAGCCATTCCCTTCTCTAGGGGATCTTCCTGACCCAGGGATCTAACCCGAGTCTCCTGTGTTGCAGGTGGATTCTTTACTGTCTGAACCACTTCTTTCAGAAAGACTTTCCTGGCATCCAGACTGTGTTGATATCTCTGAAATGTACTCCCCTAAAGTGTGCAACTTATCCTACCACTCGAACCCACCGAACTGAATTGCCTCTTAGACTGTAAACTCTTTGGGAACCAGAACCATAACCAGTATATTTTTGAGTTCCTGATGATTAATACAGAGACAACACAAACAGGACATCAAAAAAGATGGATCAAATCAAAGAATGAATCACCAAGGACTCTTGAGTACCCATAGGGGAAGCAAAGAAAATACACACACCTGGATTTTAATGTCACATAGCATTTAAGTTTGTATGTTTACTCACTAAATATGTGTTCTATGTTGTTTCCCATTTATCACACGTCTATTCCAATGACCTTGTGAAGCATCTGACAAGAGAGTGAAAATAATGTTTCTCAAAACTAATGACCTGATGTTGCAATAATTTCTCCCCACATCTGTGCTAATCATAGCTATGGAATGTGTAAGAAACCACCTGATTTTTACTGTATGTATATGCATGTATACATATAGTATATATACATATATATGTATACGTATATCTACATTCCAAGTAGAACTTGAAAGCTGTAATTTCTGAGTTCAATGCCTTCCATGGTGGCTTCCCAATTACAGTCAGTCACATGAGTTGTCCCTGTCAGGGCCCTGCCCATGGTGGTGGCAGGCCCCTAGAAGCCGGGTCTGAGCTGTGTGGTCCTGCCCTTGTAAAGCTCAGCTCACTGATCCAAGGTGGACACAGACCCACGCTAGCCTTGTAAGACTTTTTCTCCCAAGAACTGGGAATCTGGTGTTAACCTGGTATCTGAACTGAGTCATTTGACATGATCTCTTTAAATTTCCATGGTGCCTCCCCTTCCCAAGGCCTCCCTGGACAACTCTTGCTTACAGCCTCTGAGAGTCCTCATAATTGTTTCAATAAATCTCCATTTTTTATGTCACTTTCTGTGACTTGTCATCAAAAGAATCTTCCTAACTAATACAATAGCAATGTTACTGAAGACTGTCAATACTATATTTTCCCTGTTGGTTCAAATTTCTCAGAAACTACATTCTCTGTTATTAAGGATATTTCATCCCATGAGTGATAGAATGCCTAATTAGATAAAAGGGAAATAATTGGATTGTATCATACTAGAAGTCTAAATTTCAAAAAGAGGCACCTCTATAAGAAAAAGTTTCTCAATCATTCTTACAGGAAAACACCTATACTCTGAAGCCTCACTTTAATGCTCCACTCATGGCCTAAGCCGTGGGACCTGGTGCAACCCTACAGGAAGAACATGAAAGACCTACAATATAGCCCATGCCGGTGGAGCCATCCTTTGTGAAGCATCTGTGGCATATAATCTCTGGCAATTCATCAGGTTCTTCTGACAATGACCAAGTATGTTTTGAATACCAACCCTTTTTTCAGAATCCTTTCTATACTGGATATTAAAGCAAACTCAAATTTCTAATTTAAAACAGGCATTGAAAATCTCAGTGACAAATCAGTAAGAAATATTTCTAAATTCTGAAAGAGTAATGAGTCTCTATTAATTGATTTTTCTGTATATTTGCCATATATGCTGCTATTTATACTCATGCTATTTATGCTAAGGGATCTTTTAAGTATCCTAAAATCAACCTTTTTAAAAAATTAAATTATTTATTTATTTTAATTGGAGGATAATTACTTTACAATATTGTAGTTTTTGCCATACATCAACATGAATCAGCCATGGGTGCACATGTGTGCCCCCCATCATGTCCCCACCCCCCTCCCCACCCCATCCCTCTGGGTTGTCCCAGACCACCAGCTTTGAGTGCCCTGCTTAACACATGGAACTTGCACTGGCCATCTATTTTACATATGGTAATATACATGTTTCCATGCTATTCTCTCAAATTATCCCACCCTCACCTTCTCCCACTGAGTCCAAAAGCCGGTTCTTTACATCTTTGTCTCTTTTGCTGTCTCACATATAGGATTGTCATTACCGTCTTTCTAGATTCCATATATATGTGTTAATACACTGCATTGGTGTTTCTCTTTCTGGCTTACTTCACTCTGTGTAATCCAGTTTCATCCACCTCATTAGAACTGACTCAAATGTGTTCTTTTTTATAGCTGAGTAATATTCCATGGTGTATATGTACCACAACTTCCTTATCCATTCGTCTGCCGATGGACATCTAGGTTGCTTCCATGCCCTAGCTGTTGTAAAGTATGCTGCAATGAACACTGGGGTACATGTGCCTCTTTCAATTCTGCTAAAACCAACCTTTTTGATAAGGCACAGATCTCAAATTAGTTGAAAATAAGGTGACCAACAGTCAATGTTTAAACATAACTTTCAACATATGCTATTTATTGACACAAAGACAAGAACAGAAACTCAGATTCCAGAAGTTTTAGTGAGTATTTGACTTTAAAAATGAACATTCCACCACCACCACCAACCCAGAATCTTCCCTCTGGTTTTTGTTTTTTTTTAACAAATACACAAGAAGAGATTAAGTTTTAATAAATGTTCTGCCACAGTAACAGACCAGAAGAAAGTATCTTTATCACTAGCAACCAGCACCTGTCCAGTTTTTCCAAGCCCACTTGTTGGCAGTTCTCACGATCTCTATAGCAAATGAACTTCTAACAATACTCCCTGAGAGTAGTAGACTATACCAGTAGCCAAAATTGTCTTTAAAGGCTTTGTGAATGAGTGGATCTCTTTCTGGGTTAACACTCAGAGTCCCATGGAAAGGGAATTTACCACAGACATCCCAAAGATGCAGCTGCTCTTCCCGCTAAGAGAGATCATGAGTGCCCAAAGCTTTTGAAACCTTAATTATTCAGTTAAATTTAGGGAAATTGATATTACCAAAGAGTCCCAGCAAATCTAACTGAATGTATTTCAGAGAACAGTGATACTGGCTGAAAACCATGGTTTACATTCCATCTTCAAAGTGAGATAATGCAAGAATGCCAAAAATTCAACAGAGTCTTCTCAAGTAACAATCTTGTCCTTGAGAGAGCACTGGGATTCTGAGCTGTGGAATTTTCCACTCATTTATTCTTTCATTTTCCATCTTCCTTTGCCTTCAAGTGTCAATTGGCTCCTCTCAGTCACAGCTGTACAAATCACAGAACCCTTTTTTTTTTAATTGGCAGAAGACATATACATTATTCATCTATTCATTTCCATCTAATGGAAATCCAAAAAAGACAATTTTATTTTCCAACAAAACATTTAAAGCTGCTTTTCCGCCCCATGAGAAACAGGACACAAGACTCCATCCATGGTCTATGTAAGTACAAAACTTTTTGCCTATTAAAGCATGTATGAATTTGATTTTATTAAAATGTATGACTGTTTTTTCCTGTTATACTTCGTAGTACTTGTACATAAATATGTAGCAAATTCAGTGTTTTTCTTAGCTTGTGAAACCTTAGTACCATAATAATACCAAGAACACTCTGTGCTTTTCCCAGCAAATATTGACTTAAGAGGGCACTTTGTTTACACTTATGCTACATCCTTGATAGAAAGCATGTACGTATTGCATTGTGGGATGTGTTTTTCTCTAACTGTAAATACAGTGAAGCAGAAAAGTCAAGTAGTGACTGCATCAAGCGATTACCTTGGCCCCTGGGTTATTGATTGAACTGGAACGCAGGTTAAGGTCATGGCAAACTCTCATTTCACAGGCTCCTTTGTAGCGAAAGGAAATGACCTGTGTCTAACTCAATATCCCCATGACTTCCTATTTGACAAGCCAATTCCCATATGAAATGAAGGGGAAAAGTGACGTTTGCATCGGTAGTGAGGTCTATGTATCTGCCTTGCGCGTCGGCCACAATGATAGGTTCATGATATAAGGATAAACCTTCCTCTCCTTCAGGAGATAGTTTACTTCCCTGATCTGTAAAAGCCTTGTGGGACACAGAGAGCAGTAGAAAGAAATGTCCACCTGCCTCCCCATCTTCAACCCAGCTTTCTATGACAGAAGAATGAAATCCTTGAATAGTCACCATCAACCACTAATGAAAATGCTGAACCAAAAAAAAAAAAAAAAAGATGTGAGCTCCAAGCTCTCTGTCAGAAGACAAAAGTTCCATTATAAAAGACAGCCATGGCTTTACAAGCCAAACAGAACTTTCTCAACATCTCACAGCCATCTCATTAACCAATGCTCTCTCATCATGAGTGATCATGGGTGTTTAGCGTCAGAAGCAAAATATGGGGAGCTCTGTCTGCAGGCAAGTAGAGACAAGGTATTATAGAGGAAGAGCTAGGTGTGTGAGGAAAATGATGACGTGGGCATATTTTAGTGCTTAATTCATAAGGAAGAAAATGCAGCGCAGGCAGGAACTTAACCCTTTTCTGGTTGGCATGTCAAATGAATACATAAACAATTATTTCCATTTCTTTCAACATCAGTCCCGTCTATATGATTTGAACTTCTCTTTTGCCCCTGCTACTTGGCTTTATTTCAAGGACTGGTAAAAGCACCTCATAAAGGCCTTTCACATATAAAAAGGTGCAAATTTCAACATCTTTAATCGTTTTTGAAAGCTCATTGACTCTAAGTAGAGGAAATCATCATTTGAGATGATTCATTTCCGAGTTGCACCAAGTGAACCGTTGAACTCACAGCTGGGCATCTCAAATGAAAGATGGAATTTCTGGGACCTAACACTTCAGGGGCAGCAAGGAGGGTGGCCCTGCAGTAGCCGATGCTGAAAAAAGACTTTAAATTCCAACAATAAAGGACACCCAGCACATACTCCCACAGCATCACATGAGCGGCAAGACTTATCTGCTCTGCAGGAGTCTGTACACAAGCCTCGGTGCTTACTTGGTGACGTCAACTTCCTGTTGCCCCATCACAGGTTGCCCTTATACTCATTTAACCTAGTTTTCTCTGTATACACTTGTCGACACTAAGGAAAGAACTGTTGGATTTGGGACTTTATATTCTTTTGCGGGAGGATTTTGTATTACCGTTGAGTAACGAGTTTGCTCAAACGAATATTTTAAGAAGTAAAGGGTGGAGGGAGGAGAGAAGGAGTGGTTATTTTATATTGCATTTTACATTTTATATCCCATTTCTCCTATGTTAAAATGTCTGGAAAGTTCGTAAGCTTAATGCTTATGCTGCTGCTGCTAAGTCGCCTCAGTCGTATCTGACTCTGTGCGACCCCATAGACGGCAGCCCACCAGGCCCCGCCGTCCCTGGGATTCTCCAGGCAAGAACACTGGAGTGGGTTGCCATTTCCTTCTCCAACGCATGAAAGTGAAAAGTGAAAGTGAAGTCACTCAGTCATATCTGACTCTTAGCGACCCCATGGACTGCAGCCTACCAGGCTCCTCTGTCTATGGGATTTTCCAGGCAAGAGTACTGGAGTGGGTTGCCATTGCCTTCTCCATTAATGCTTATATATAAATACAAATGATAATGATGTAACTTTTGCTTATCCCTGGAAATAGAGACTTTTTTGTTTGTGTGTGCATGCTCAGTCCTGTTCAACTCTTTGCCACCCCTCAGCATACATAGCCCATCAGGCTTCTCCATCAATGGGATTTCCCAGGCAAGAATACTGCAGTGGGTTGCCGTGAAGTATGATAAGGTGGAGCAGACTAGGGTGTTATGGGACAGCCTAGGTTCATGGAGCATATGGTGGTGATCTCCAGTGGCCTTGGCCTGCAATGCCTTGAAGTGGGTCTTGGGTTCCCCACCAGAGACCGGGCTGGGTTGCAGCAATGAAAGCACCAGATCCTCTCAACTAGACCAGTGGTCGGTGATATAGGCCCTGCCCCTTTGGCTTTGCAGAAAAAGAATTTCCACAAAGATGGAAAGTAATGGAACAAGTAAAGCATTTATTAAGAGGGAAAAAATACAGTACGTGTGGACAGTCACACAGGAGGACTCAGGGGGAGAGAGAGTCACTGAATCACACCCTCGTGGCAGTTTGAATTACTTTAATGGGATATTTTTTCCAGGTTTCCTTTGACTAATCATTTTGATTTGCCTGGTTCACAGTCCATATTTGGTATATCTCAGGCTCCTCCCACGTGTGCACACGCATCTCTTAGTCAAGATGGATCCTACCAAAAAGGCAGCTGGGTAGAAAATCCCTTGACAAAACTCTGCTATGGCCTCCAAGGAGCCTTTTCTATATATGTGTGGCCAGAGAGGTCTCTTGGCTTGGAGAATAAGAAATATGTGGTCTGGGAAGGGCCTAGCTTCTTCCCTCAATTGCCCTGCTATTCTTGTCTTGGAGTTTCAGTCCATAGAGAATGAATATCCAATTGTTTTACCCTGGGCGGGGGAGGGGGCGTCCATCTGCCTCCTGCCTCAGTAGTAGGTGAAAGTGATGAAAGTGGATGTCCTTCAGTCGTATCCAACTCTTCACAACCCCATGGAATTCTCCGGGCCAGAATACTGGGATGGGTAGCCTTTCCCTTCTCCAGAGGATCTTCCCAACCCAGGAATCGAACCCAGGTCTCCCACATTGCAGGCGGATTCTTAGCCAGCTGAGCCACAAGGGAAGCCCTCAGTAGTGGCGAGGGGACAATAGCACTATAGGACAAACTGCTAGTTCAACCCCATGGTTTTGGAGCTGAGACCCTGAGCTTCAGTAAGGGGAGAATCTTAGACCATAGACAAAGAATTGAACAGTTGGAGTTAACTATGCGAAAATACTGAAAAGGAGTGTTAGTCACTCAGTGGTGTCCAATTCTTTGTGATCCCATGGACTGTAGCCTTCAGGCTCCTCTGTCCATGGGATTTCCCAGGCAAGAATACTGGAGTGGGCTGCCATTTCCTTCTCCAAGGGATCTTCCCAACACTTTTAATAAGAAAAACAAAAGTGCAAATTTTACTTACCTGCCATTTACTAGCTGTGTCACCTAATCTTTCTGTGGCTCATCTATAAAACTGAAATATAGTGGTCATAGGCTTGCTGGGAAAATCAAATCAGTCGATAACTTAAAAGTCATCTAGAAATGAGAAGTATCTGATAAACGTCAACTGTTTTTATTATTGTTGCCACTGCTAGTGTGAATTCAACTAGGCCTTTCTCAAGTAAGTGAATTTTTGTTGATTGATGAGCTGGAAAACTCAATCCACTATGAACTGGCGTGTCACAGCAGTGTGGGTGTCAGTATTTTAGGATACACTGAGGCAGAACCTAGCTTCAGCTGGAGCTGAAGGAAGTGGGGGGTATCTGGGAGTCTCATCTCCGTGACTAATGATCACTCATACTTAAGAGCACTTAGGTATCAGCTTTCTTATAGCATAACAAAAACTCCAAAAATGGAATTGAAAACCCAAACTTTTCCTGAGTCACAATTTTGATTTTTGGAAACCCTGACCAAGCCGCTTCTATATCTGGTATTAATAACAATCTTCACCTGAATCATTACAGAGATTAAATGTGTTAGAAAGCACGTTATGACCTGTGGAGTCTACAGAGAACTGTACCTTCTTAAAAGCATGGTGTATTACGATTACAAAATGTTTCTCTTATTTTGAAGTCACAGGGAAAAATTCATTCTTGCTTTTTTCCAAGGGTTTAGCTTTGACCATGAAAGTAGGATATATGTCCAGAGTATTCATGGAAAGTGTATTTGAAGAGAAACACTGAGCTGGGAATGTTGGAGGATGGGTTCCAGCCCAGCTTTCCCATGGGCACAGCATACAGCTCCAGGCAAGTCGTTTAGACTTCTTGGCTCCTGGTTTCCTTTCCTGTAAAACACGGGATGAATTAGATGATCTCTCCCCCTCTCACTCTATAATTCTAAATGTCAGACATAAGTTTGCATGAATCTGTGAGCCACTAAAACTTGGTAAATTTCAGAAAATTATTTAATAAACAAAATCTCTCATAAGCAACTCGAGAAAGCTTGGAACTGACTCCCAAAATATTGCATAATCGTGTTTGGGCAAAGACTTCAAACCTAAGAAGAAGACGTTGGAAGTGGGCCTCTTTTCACTACCATTTGCAATTCACAGAAGACAGGCTGTCAGTTCCTGTGTTCATACTCATTCCGCCTTAAGGGCTCAGAGCATTTGAACATCTCTCATTAATTTTGTGGGTCACTTAATAAACAGAAAATGCTATTGCCTCTTTCAAAATGAAATGAAAGCCATTTCTATAACATGTTTAGCATCTCAAAATGCTAAATAAGAGTTTTAGCTTCCCCCTCTTCCTCATTTCTGATTTGATCAACATAATAACTTTGCTAAGAAGGCTGGGTCCAGGAATGCTTATGCTCATTTTGCAATTGAATATTCTGGGGACC